TCAGAAAACTTCAATTTGCTGGTGAAAAAGTTTAGAAAATTCCTAAGGAAGAAAAAGAGATCCCCCTACAAGTTCAACAAGAAGGCTCATAAGAAAGATGAAGGGAGCACATCTTCTTACAATTATTTTGAATGTAGAAAATCAGGCCATATAAAAGTTGAATGCCCCAATCTTCTAAAGAAGCAACAAGAGGAAAAGAAAGGGAAAAGAAACAACAAAGGAAAAAGAGCCTACATAGCTTGGGAAGACAATGATCAAAGCTTAACTAGTAGTGAATCTAAATATGAGGAAATCAACCTATGTTTGATGGCTGGAGTTGATCAAGACAACATTGTAAGTGATTCTGATCTTGAGTCTAATCTGGATTATGATCAACTTCAAGCTTTTATTCAAATTCACAAAGAAGCTATAAAATTAGATGCTTTAAACACCAAGCTTAAAAGCAAATTGTCAAGGTATGAAAATGCTTTGATTGGAGCTGAACAAGAGCTTGAAAACTTGAAAATTGAACATGAAAATCTACAAACAATTTTAAACTTCAATGAAGCTCATTGTGAAACCTCCTCCTCTTCAAAAGTTGATTGTGAAAGTTGCAAGTTTTTAGAAAAATAAAATGTTGATTTGAAAAATTATCTTGCAAGATTCACAAATGTTCCTAGACTAGCTTGTTTGACCTAATTTTTTGTGTTGTTCGTGAAACTTTGTTTGGTGCGTCATTTTCTTATTAAATTTGTGCCTACCTATATGTGCTTTTGTTTTACATGTTTGAGTTCATAATTTGCTATTAGTTCTAGCAAATTTCCTGGAGTTAGGTTTCCTTTATGTCTTGTTAAAAGTTTGTCAAGAAAAACTGTTAAACACTAATTCCTATTAGGTTTCTTTGAGTCTTGTGTTGTGGCTGAAACTTTTAACACTTTTTAGGCACTTAAAATAGAGACAAAACAGAGGTGTTTTTGTTCTAAAAACATTATAAAAACAAGAGAAAGAGTACTTAAAAATTTGACAAAAAAATAGTACAAAATTGTGAAGCACTAGTTGAACATTGCATGTGAACACCTCTTGTTTTGTGTGAAAATTTTTGCAGAAGATTTTTATGCTTAAATCCAAGATTAATACTTGATTAAAAGGCATTAAACTCCTGTTTTAAAAAATAAAAATAAAAAAGAAAGAACAAAAGAAATCACAAAAGAAAAGAATACAAGAAAAAGCCAAGGAGTGAAAATTTTAGCAAAATAGTGCTCTCGGTTTCGTAACATTTTGTGTGCCTTATCTTCAATTTTCTGTCCAGCCACATATACAATATTTTGAGTCTTATTTTTTTTTTTAATCTTAGCTTTGATTTTTTTAATCCATTCTAGTGCCTTTGTTAGGAATTCTTTTGTGTGCTAGCCTTTCAAATTGTGCTTTAATTTTTGCTTGTCAATTTTTTTGGAACTCCTTCTAGTTTGTCTCATTACATTCCACCAATTGGTGTAGCTATTCTAAATTGTTCCTTTTCAGTTTTAGCACTAATATTCCAACAATTGAAGGTGGTTGAGTGCTTCTTAAAAGGTGTAGGAGGCCAAGTCAAAGGAAGTCAACTTGAAGACTTTGGTGGTTGCTTAGGGAGCTTGTTCTCTCTTGGTGGAAGGTCTCTTGGAAACACCTAGAAGTAACCAAAGCCAAGGTTGCTTCTAAAAGAAGAGTGATACACTAGCGAGGGCTGAATGCTTGGTGGCTCAAATTGGAAGAGAAGGAGCAACAAATTTTTGAAAACTTTGTGAACTTTAGAGACCAATTTTAGTGACGGAAATTTTTGTTTCTAAACTTATTTTCCTTACAAAATCTGTCTCTAAAATTTGTCTCTAATTAGTGGCTAATTTGTTTTCTTTGAAATTAAGTGCAGCCACTAATTTCATTTGATTGTGAATTTACATTTCATTTGGTGTGAATTTACATTTCATTTGGAGTGTGAATTTGCATTTCATTTGAAGTAAATTTGCATTTCATTTTTCTTGTAATCTTTTAATTTTCCAATTTTTGTACAAGGCCTTTATTAAGGAGTGTCTTGGAGTGCCTTTGGTGTATCTCCATCTCTCCTTAGGTGTTCTAAATAGTAATCTCGTTTAGTACTTGTGAGAGGGTCCTTGAAGGTCTTTGGTGCCTTTCAAGCTCTCACATAAGTTTAATTGCTTTCCACGCCTAGTTTATGTTTACTTGTCTATAAGTTTTCAAGCAATTTATGTTTTCTTGCCATTTATGATTTCAAGTCTTGATAATTGTACACAATAAGCACTTGATTGTTATTTTCCTTTTTGAAAATATCTTTGTGAAAATTGCTTTGTGCAAGGCAAACGTACAAGGGGGTTTAGAGATTTTTACTTGAAGAGGCTTGGTTATTAAGTGGCTCTTAGTAGCTCACCTCCCTCCAAAGTTCAATTTGTACTCTTAGACCTCCAAGTCCCATGTCTAAGCACTTCCCAAAAATCTTATTTTCTTAAAAACTATTTTTGAGTGGAAAAATCTTTTTGTGTTAAAATGTCTCAAAATTCCTTCAATAGTGAAAGTGATGGCTCTCCAAAAAGTCTTTCATACATTACTAAAGAGCTCAAATCACTTAAACTATGGAAAAAGCAAGAGTCTCTTCAAAGAGAAAGAGATAAAATTGAAAGAGAAGGACAACTTGCTTACCTGTAGGAAGAATTGAGAATTTTAAGACAAGAAGAAGAAAAGTTGAAAGAAAATATGAAAAAACAGAGAAAAAAAAGTAGGAGCTCACACTCCCAATACACATCTCCTAATGAAAGCCTTAATGTGGGTAACCATTATCAACCTTCCCCTAGAAGAACTATTAAACCTAGGGAATCCAAGGTGGATCTCCCTCAATTTTTTGGGAAGGATGATGTGGAGGCCTACCTTGATTGAGAGATGAAGGTAGAACAACTCTTTGCTTGCCATAGGGTAAGTGAAGAAAGGAAAGTGCCACTTGCAACCCTTAGCTTTCAAGAACATGCAATGTATTGGTGGACCTCTTTGGAAAGAGAAAGACGTCTCCACAATGATCCTCCTATCCAATATTGGAATGATCTTAGGAGTGCATTGAGGAGGAGACACATTCCCTCTTACTATCTTCAAAAAATTGAATGCTAGTCTGAATGTTCTTTTAAAAACTTGTAAAATACCCTTCAGATTCCTGTCTCTTTGTCTTCTGCCCTGCAAAAATAAAAACAATCATCTGTAAATAAAATTAAAGCACCACAATTTGAAATTTTAAAATTAAGAAGTTACTTATAATAAATTCATATTAGTATTTGAATATAATTTGTATATAGTTAAATGTATAATTAAAACAAAACAATTTGTAAATATTCTTTTATAGTAATATGGTTTTTTATAGAAAATAAGAAAATTAAAATATCAAATCACTTATATATTAAACAAATCACTTATATATTAAACGTAAAAATAATAACGTTTTTAGGAATTATTCTTAATAGCGTTTTTACAAATTCTTATAATATTTATCATATTTATTTATAAATCAAATTTTAATATTTTAAAATATATTATTAATTATTATAAGTATTTTTTTCATGATATAAATTATTATATTAAATATAAAATAATAATTTATATTTTTAAAAATATTTATTTATATAAATATTAAATTTTATTTATATATCCAAATATCTATAATATTTATTTACATATAATAATTTATTATAAATTTAAGTTATATGAATTGATGGCCTCGTGCTCTATTTTTGTTCTATTGGAAAGCGAAAAGATCTAGGAAATATGAAAGGTCCATAATCCGATACAGTACTTCTGAATTATAATTCTCTTTTGTAATTATGAACCATATATATCTGACATCTCTCACAAACAAAATCACACATGCTTGCTGATTAGTTCATTTTTTAATTAAAAGTCATCTAAAGTGAAATAAAAAAATTAAGTATGGTTCAGTTTAATTGAATTTTTATATAATTGGTATTTTCATCAATATTTCTTTTATATATATCATACTTTTTTAAGAAATTTAATCTTTATATTAATTTTTTTGAAATTCAAAGATAATAAATTATTCTAAATTTTCTGATTAATAATTCTATAACAATTTATGTATATGCATTTTAAAAATAATTGTATAATCTTATATTCTAAGAAAATAATTATAAATAATATAATAAAATATATTATTTAACTATTTAAATTAAAATCAATTATTTTAAAATATATATACAAGAATTAAGAAATTGGTTGGAGTCTAAGACAAATAACTTTAATGACCTTATCTTATGCACAATCATGTGTAATATTATGTTATTTGTTTAAGATTGTAAGTCAAAAATAAAATTTAAAAGCATATAAACACTAAAATATTTTGGTCACTTCTAATTATAAATGATGATATAACTTGTGACCCTATTGAGAAAACTAAAACACGTATTAAGAGACTAAAAATGCAATTAACTAAAAGAAATATTACAACATGTGTTGACACCGAGGCAAAAGCATGAGATTTTAATAAAGTTGGAGGGCCTGGTGGTCTGTTGGAAAGTGGAAAGGTCTAGGAAAATGAAAGTGCAATGTACTTGTCCACGAACTACTTTTATGAGTTTTTAATAAGTGAGCCAAGAGTTCACCTTGTCTTTTCATCTGCTTATTACTCACTCTTTCTTCTTACTATATATATATTCACCCTTTGCTTCATTGTTGATGTGAGTTTGTAGAGTGTGTCACCAAATTAATATATGCATACATATACTTTGGTACTAATTAATGGGGTCACCAAAGGAGCATATTGAAGAAATACGAAGGAACAAATTTTCAATTGGCAAGGAACCCAACCCTCTAATAGAAGATTTGCACCAAGCTGTTAAGAATCTCTCCGTTGAACTTTATACCAAAGATGTCCATTTTCTAATGGAACTCATTCAGGTACCCACTGATTGATTATTGAATATGTGTGCATGTGGTTGAACGTACTTCATATTTATAGCTTCATGTTTGCTCATTATGTTATTGTTGCTACAAAGTATTGTCATTGCACCGTTAGTACTTTCAATCACGTTTTTACATTGAGAGGTGTATGTCTTATATATATGAATATTTTAATCACATATATTTAACAAATTCTTGATCGTTTGATAGTGGAATTTGCTTAAAAACATTAACTAGAATTATGCATTTTTTTCAAATGCTTGCTAAATGTAGTAGTGTATGTTTTGTTGTACATCAAGGATTTTATGTCATGTAAAAATGGTAATAATATCAATTGTACACATCAGTATGATTTTATTAATAATAATAATAATATAACTAGTATGTTAAATATTTTTATACATTCATATGTGAATAAAATCAATTTTTATAGTGACTGATTTAATTATATATGATGATAAATTCATTGTTACTTTGACAGAATGCAGAAGACAATGTGTACTCTAAAGGAGTGAAACCTTCGCTTGAATTCATAATAACTTCAAAGGACATAACATCTACTGGTGCTGCAGCTACATTGCTGATTTTCAACAATGAAAAGGGTTTCTCTGCCAAAAACATTGAATCTATATGCAGCGTTGGACGGTCCACAAAGAAAGGCAAAAGGAGCAGTGGTTACATTGGCGAGAAAGGTACATTTTCTGTCTTAAATACCTCCACAAAAGAGTTTAAACTTTTTATTGTGTTTATTTATTTTTTTAAGTGATGTTTAGTTAAATAATTTGCATGGTATTTAATTACCAGAATAAATTGTTCGAATATGCACCAAGCTAGCTTTATATAAACCCAACTTCTAATAATTTATTTTGTGAAAAGAATGCTTGCAACTGTTAGCAATGTTTTACTAAATTGTACATATGCACACAACTTTTTTGGATGAACGCCATGCCTAATAATTAGTTTTGTGAAAATAATGTTTGTAACCGTTAACAATGTTTTATAAAAATGGGACTATATTTCTTGTGAAAATATAGTTATCACAACTCCATCTTTGAAATTCCATGTTAATCAATTAGAATGATTAGTATAATATAGTAGAAACACAAATTTTGTAAATATATGATACAATGTCTCGTATGGTGGATTTGCAGGAATCGGTTTCAAGAGTGTATTTCTGGTGACTACTGAGCCTTATATTTTCAGTAATGGATATCAGATACGGTTCAATGAGAAGCCTTGTCCACATTGCGGACTCGGGTATGTAGTTCCTGAATGGGTTGAGGAGAAGGCAACCCTTGAAGACATAAAGAATATATATGGTGCCCGTGATGGTTCCATTCCAACTACAACAATTGTCTTACCTCTCAAGTCTGATAAGGTTAAACCTGTGAAACAGCAGCTCTCAGACATTCACCCAGAACTTTTGTTGTTCCTTTCAAAGATCAGACACCTTTCTGTCAGAGAAAACAATGAGAATCCAAAGCTGAATAGTGCAAATGCTATTTCTATTTCAACTGAGATTAACTTTGTCACAAGGAAAAACATGAATGCTGAGTCGTACACGCTGCATCTCTCTGCTGAGGAAAATGGTGGTTCTGAGAAGGAATGCAGCTACTATATGTGGAAGCAAAAGTTCCCTGTGATGTTGGAAAATGTGGTTGAAAGGAGAATGGGTGTGGAGGAGTGTGTTGTTACATTAGCCTTTCCAAATCAGGAGAGGCTTCATAGGGGAAAAACCTCACCTGGGGTCTATGCTTATCTTCCAACTGAGATGGTCACTAATTTCCCTTTCATAATTCAAGCAGATTTTGTCCTTGCCTCTTCAAGGGAGACAATTCTCTTGGATGATAAGTGGAACCATGGAATACTTGAGTGTGTTCCCTCAGCTTTTGTAGATGCTTTCAAAACATTGATCATTGGATCCAATCAGGCACCTGTGTCCACTTTGGCAGAGATGTTCAAATTCATTCCCATTGAAACTTCTCCTTATCAAAAGTTAAATAATGTGAGGGAGAAAATCAAAGAGAAACTCGTTGAAGAAAACATAATTCCTATAGAGACATACAAGGTGCAGAAGTACTTCTATAAGCCTCGTGAAGTTGGTAGGCTAGATTCTGAATTCTGGGACATTTTGGATAAGGCTCGGGCAGAAGGAGTATACTTGCATAACCTGTCATCTCATGGATGGAAAATTTTGAGTTCTTCACTTGACATGAGCAAGTATGATGGGATCCTTAACTTTTTAGGTGTACAACAGGTCAAATTAGATTGGTATGCAAAGTGCATTCAGAGTTCCAATCTTGTGGGTGGAGTCTCTGAAGAGGCCTATATGAAGCTTTTACTATTTGTTGCTAAAAATTGGGGATCGATGTTCCGCGGCTCCAACATGGAGAACGTTCCATTGTTAAAGTATGTGAGTTCTGATGGGAGTTTGTCCCATTGCAGTGTTTATGATTGCACTAAAGGTGTCAAGCGATTGGTTCGAGCTGATCCTAACCAGTCCTGTTCTTGCTCTTGGCTGATTAGTTGGAACAAGGAATTTGCATGTGCAGCCAACAAATTTTTTATGCCAGAAATAACCCAGAAAGAGATGTTGAAATTTCCCCATCTGCTTACTTTGTTGGGGTGGCTACAAAATCACGTTAATGTTACAACCCTGAATGTACACTCTTTTGCACTTGCCCTTTCTGGCTCTATAGAAAATAACTCCAAGCTTGTCATTACATATGCTCATTTCTTATATCACTCATTCTCTAAGAGGTACATATCAGGCCGGGATTTTGATACATTGTGTAGGTGTATGCCACTTGTGGACAGCTATGGCTGTGTTAATAAGTCGAGAAAAGGGGTTCTTGTGCCTGCCAGTGCAAGCAAATGGGCAAACTTGATCGTTTCTAATCCGTGGAGGAAAGAAAATTATATTGAGCTGGGAAAGGAGTATTTGCATCCGTCTTGTTATGCAGGCCAAACTACTAAGTCTAAGAAGCTCATCAAATTCCTGAGTGATCATCTTGGTGCTTCTGATATACCAGATATACGTCCTCCAAATGCTGGTTTTCCTGCTGTAGATACACCACTCACCAAAGACAATGCTTTTTTGCTTTTGGGTTGGATTCAGAAACTGAAGTATACGGGAGTGAGTATACCAGATAAATTCTTGAAATGTATAAAGGAGGGAAGTTGGCTTAAGGTTACAGTTAATGGGTGGATGCCGCCTTGTAAGTCTTTCTTAATTGGCTCATCGTTGGGAAAGATTTTGCAAAGTGGTTCCGTTCTTGTTGACATTCCACTCGTTGATGAGAACTACTATGGGACTAGAATACATGAGTATGAGAAGGAGTTGAAAACTATTGGAGTGATGTTCAGTTATGAGGAAGCATGTGAATTCATTGCAAGACAATTAATGCAACGAGCTGCATCTTTCAATTTAAGCAGAAGTCATGTTATTTTGATGCTTAAATTCATTCAACATCAGAGGCAAAGTTGTCTTCCTGTAGACAACTTTGTCAACAGCATCAGAAATGGAAGTTGGTTGAAGACATCTCATGGTCTCAGGTCTCCTGTAGGATCTGTATTGTATGATTCGGAATGGGAAGTTGCATCTCGAATTAGTGCTATCCCTTTTATTGATCGGGATTATTTTGGTGAGGAAATAAATAATTTCAAAGAGGAGCTCAAGTTGTTGGGTGTGATAGTTGGCTTCAGTAAAAACTATAATGTTGTTATTGACCATTTAAAATCTCCCTCTAATTTTGCCAATTTGAAAGCTGATGTTGTTATGTTGTTATTGGAATGCATTAAGTTTTCTTCTGGATCTGATAAACTCCTGAATTCACTCAAAGGTTCTTGCTGCTTAAAAACAAACTTGGGTTTCAAAACACCAGGTGAATGTTTCTTGTCTGATCCTGTATGGGGCTGCATTTTGGAGCTATTCAATTGTCTTGCTGCGATAGACCATAAATTCTATGGAGAGAAGATTTTCACTTACAAAGGTGAATTGAAGCAAATAGGGGCGGTAGTTGACTTTGAGGAAGCTATCAAAAAATTTGGTCAACTCTTCAAACAGAAAGCATCACAAACTTCCTTTAACCAACATGTTAAATCATTTCTTTCATGCTGCAGACTGCTGAAGGGAAGTGGATATAGATTTCCTGCTGATTTCTTAGTGACGGTTCATAAAGAGAAATGGTTACATACCAGGGTTGGTGATTATCGTAGTCCAAGAGATTGCATTCTTGATGGTGTGGAATGGAAATCCATCTCTTCCATAACTTGTCTTCCTTTCATTGATGACAGTGACAACTGTTATGGTAAAGGAATTTATGAGTACAAGGAGGAGCTGAAGAGCATTGGTGCTGTTACTAAATTCAAAGATGGGGTGAAGTTTGTTCCTAAATGTTTGAATTTTCCTTCAGATCCCTCCATCATTATTCCTGAAAGTGTGTTTTCTTTTCTGGAATGTATTCGTCTTCTATTAAAAGGGGGTGATGTTTCCATTGAAGGTGACTTCAGAAAAATAATGTCTGGAAATTGGTTGAAGACACATGCTGGTTATAGGCCTCCAGAGAAGTGTTTGTTGTTTGATTCCAAGTGGAATTCATTCCTGAAGCCAACAGAAGGGCCTTTCATTGATGAGAATTTTTATGGTCCCAAAATTGCATCTTACAAGAGAGAACTGGATGCAATAGGAGTCATTGTTGACATTGAGAAAGGTTGCTGCTTGGTTGCTAGTCACCTCGACTCTCTCTCTGAATATAATACTATTGTGCAGATATATAGGTATTCGTTTTCCCTCAAGAAGATTATTCTGTTTTACCCTATTATGTTCAAATTTTATGAGATTTGTATGATAATATTTTCTCTGATTATTTTGTATTGTACATGTGTACAGGTACCTGAGTGAACACAACTGGAAACCCACGGATAAAGCTGCCAGAAAGATTTGGATTCCAAAAATTGCAAAGTGGGTGTATCCTGAAGATTGTGTCATACATGACCAGGATAATCTTTTTGGTTCAGAATTTTATGTTCTGGGAGATATCTATGATAAGAAGATTCTTCCATTTTTCTCCTTTGCCATGGAAGTCAGGAACAAGCCCTCACTTGATAATTATGTCGACCTTTGGAATGATTGGGAGAGTTCTGTGGAACAGTTGTCATATGACAAGTGCTCTAAGTTCTGGATGTTTATGTTGAAACATTTGAGCACTAATTCTGAGAAGAAACTTTGTGATAACTTGGTGAAACTACCTGCAACATCACGTAACAATGAGATATTTTTGTTAGATAAGAATGATGTTTTTATTCCTGACAGCCTTCATTTGAAGAAGCTTTTTGAGCTAGAGAAGGTATTTGTTTGGTATCCTCTGAACCTTGCGCCATCATCCAAGTGTAATTTGTTTGACTTATACAGAAAAATTGGTGCTCGAAATATTTCTGAAGCTATATGCACGGAGGAGCCATCTTTGCTCAGTGGTATCTCACTCAAGAAGGTTGATTTTGGAAATATATGTGATGTGAAGGTGTTGGTTAAGCTCATTCTTGGATTTCTTGCTTGTTCTAGCTTGAAAATGGAACCAAACAAGAGGATTGAAGCTGTTAAAGGTCTACTGAACTTGAGTTTCTTTGAGACAACAGATGCAGTCAGTGTGAGTTATAGTTTGTCCCTATCATCAGGAGACATCATTACCAAGAAGGCCAACAAAATGGTAAGGTGGGAAAAGCAATGTTCCAAGTTTTTCACCCAAATGAACTGGGAAAGTGGTCATTCAAGTTTAATAAAATATGCTACATATTTCTCAGAAGCCATATCAGAGGGTATTTTGTGTGAGAATCATGATCATGTTCCTGCACTCTCTCAGCTCATCACGTTGGCCTTTGTGCTGAAATTCAACAATGAGGCAATTGATTTCCTCATGGAGTCCAAGAATTATCAGATTTTCTGTGAGGATGACGAGTTCCTTAGTTCTGCATTTCCATTTTACTAACTCACCTTCATAATCTATGCCTATATACAGTGCCTTGTTTTAAGTTTTATTTCTTAGTTTTGTTTCCTCTTTATCAGTGAATTTATCTATGAGATGACAGAAACGTAGTATTTGTGGGAGACTTCAAAGAGTTACTTGTTGCTGCATTTCAAGGTCAATGCCTAGTTATCGTTGTGTTTTGTTACCATAACAATATATGAATGTTTTATCATTTCTGTTTGGATTATTTAGTCTTGTGATTGTGGAATTTCAGTTTGAATGTTAATTCGCATTATTTCATCTGGATAAATTACTGAAGTTAAAAAAATATATGAATGCTCTACCTTCTCTTTTATTTTTTACTTTTGTCAAATACGTTTCTTTTAATGAAAAATATTTTATAAAAATTTATTCTCCATAGAGGTCTTATTGTAAAAAGGGTATAATTCGAGTTTGTCTTTCTTAGTTTATTTATTATTTTTATACTTTTACTTTTTCTTAGTTTATTTATTATTTTTATACTTTTACTTTTTCTTAGTTTATTTATTATTTAAATTTTATCCTAACTGTACACAATTTGTTAGGATACAAACAAGTCTCACACCGATAAAATAAGATAAAAAATAACAACTTATATAGCACAAAAATATTTCAATGAAAGAAAGACTTTTTGAGTAATAACCAAGAGCAAAATCGTAAGGACTAAGGCCCAAAGCGGACAATAAAATTAACCCCAACATAATTATCTACTAATTGAAAAAATTTGCTTACACGTGTTAAAATTATTGAGACTATATATTTTCATAATTTATTAAATAAAAAAACCATAAAACTTATTAAGAATTACAGAAAAGTAGCTTCAAAATTAATTTAGCATCAAAACTTTTTATTTTGAACATATAAAGTTCATGATAAATATTTTGGATTGATAAATTATCTATTATATGACGTAGGGTTATTTTTTATTATCTAATTTATTTTGAATGCATATCGAAATTTAATTTATAAATAAAGATGAAAATGATATATTAAAAAAAATAATTGATTAAGAAATTCTTAAAATTACTAGTATGAAAGAAAATTTCTTAAAAGATGTTTTTGTTAAGTAATAACATCTGAAACTACTTTTATAACATATAACATTATTCAAATTTATATATAAAAATTACTATTAGGATTAGTTTATTAGTTTGGATAGTTTAATGAATATTTAAGATTGATTTTTATTGTTTTTTTTAATAATATCTTTTATGGATAAAAAAGTACAGAAATTGTTGTATTTGATCCTTGAGTTTCACACACGTTGTACTCAATTAAAGCAATTTTATTCTGAATGAAATCTTTAGCAAATTCTAAATGGAAAAAAAAATCCTATTCTTTACAACAACATTGCTTATTGACACACTGACCACTTCCAGAAAACAACTTGATCACTACCCAACCTTGAGCAATGCAACCTTCTCACTTCCCCTGCAATTCATCAGTAAAATATTAATACATTGTTTGAGATTTTAAAATAATTACAAAACTGACATCAAACAATTTCTCAAAAATAATGAAATAAATTCTTATTAATTATTTTGTTACCTGAAACCAAAACGAATGCAATGCATAAAACTCCCAAGAAAATGTTTAGATTGAGCATTGTATTATCCGTACCGCCATGCCGAGCTCGAGCTCGGCATCTCAGCGTGGAGTGACCTCGGACACGCACTAGGCAACGTCAGCTCGGCATCCAAATAGGTCATGCTGATCTTGGGCCCAAGGCCCATGAAAACCCTAATTCACCCTAAGGTACGTGCATTACTTATACGAGACTCATACATCCACAAACACTAACTTTAGCATCAGAGTCTCTTCTGCAGGTACCACCCCCATCTTGGAGCATCAAACGTACCAGCGAAGGAGGCTCACCGATCTTACCCAGCGGATCATCTCTGCGACAGATCTCCAGTAAGAACAAGCATCTTTAGAGCCATTGTGAAGATTTTTATTTTCTCTTACTGTTTGAAATGATGGATTGAAACACCCTGCTTGAGGCTATTTAATATGCACAGGAAAATTAACGCAATTTTGAATATGATAGCATTAATTAATTAAGGTTAAATTGGTTAAAAAAAATTATATACATAACTAACTAATGCAATCCCCCCTCCCCCTTAAATTTGAGACTAGAGAAAGTGCGTAAATTCATCTTATTCTTATTATAAGATTACTAGACTTGGGCTCATGCGTTGTACGGAAAATAAATTATTATAGTCAATAAATTTTATTTTAATAATTTATAAAATTGTGAAAATTAATTAAACTTAATATAACATGAAAAAAAATATCTGAATATGCAAATAAAATGACAATGATAAACGATTCATTTAATGGAATGTAATCGCTGTATTCATCCTCTCCATGTCGGAATAAAAGTGGATAGTGCAATGGTAAATAAGCAGAACTCACTACGAAAATTTGTTACAGGTATCCTTGTTGAGTCTTTAAAATGATGTCTCTCTCACCATTACCTGCATCAAAATCACCCATAACTAAAGCCGCAACTTCAGACACAGTTGGAAGATTATACCTCCAACCATCTTTTCCCTTTTTCCCTATTATTCTGAATTTCAGGTTGCATGCATTACTTTCCTTTAGACGATCTTGACCCATCCTATATGTTTGAACATAAGGATTATGAGAGTCAAGCATCTCTTTAATGTCAGAGTATCAGACGCTATTTCTGTATGTAATGAATTAGATTTTTTATCCATCCTACAATATAATAGAATAAAAAACCATTTAAGATAAGGACTCAACACATAAATTGAGTATGGAAATTTTAGAAGAAAAATAAATAAATAATATATCCAAATGTATCAATAATTACCTAACAACAGAAATCCTGTTAGCAACTTCATTTTCCGTGTCATATGTGTACAATTGAGAAAATTTGGGTTGCTCATTGGATTAGGAAGCAAACTACCAATTCTATAGTAATTCTCACCACTCATGACAAAAATTGGAGGACCTAATCCATTATTTCATGATTCATCTATCTGACCCCCATAGAGGTGAATGAAAATATCATGTTAAATGATCTAATATTCTCCAAGAATAGCTTACTCTTTGTGTCATTCTTGAAGTAAAGATCCATCAAAGATTGAAGTGCAAGCAACAAATCAGGAAGCTTTATTTTACCTTGCATGCAACATAAAGAGAATCTAGGGTTTGCTGGATTGTAACCTTTTTGCACTCTCAAAATATCACATCATTGCTAAACATTCTTGGCATTCACAAGTAAGATCACCAATATTGCAGATTTGCAATAAACGGTTTATTATTATTATAAGAAAATAATAAGCCTTCATGTAATAGATTAATGGTTAAAATATGAAACTTAAAATAAAATACAATATTGAAGACATACAATCGGTAGTGGATGCATCTTCATGTATACCATCAATGAGTATATTTTGCTCTGAAGTTCTGATTAATTTACCATTGTTCCATATTAATTTTTGTGGTCATTTTCCTTGTGCATAGTTATTATGATTTGATTCACATTCTTCGAACAACATGTCATCAAATTCATTGTTTTGATTTGATGTGCGGTTTGCTCTTTGGCTAGATAATATCTTAACTATAAAATAACAAAATAAAAGGATAATCAAACAAGAAATGGTAAATATAAATATTATAAAATTAAATAATATAGTTATATTAAAAGAAATAAGACTCCATAAATTACCATTTATGACATTCGACAATGGAGATTGAGTAAATTGTTTTGTCATACATACACCTCTTCTAACAACTCTATTTAAGACAGTGTTAAATCGATGTACATTATGTGTGCTATCATTAATTGAAAAAAGAACTAACCTTGTGAATAAGTTTCTCCATAAATATTTTTGAGAAATAAATAATAGATAAAAAAATTTTGTTTAGAACTAACCTGTTAACCTAGCAGTTGTTACATCATAAAATTGAGACATATTACATCGACGTTGTATAGGTGCAACTTTACCAAATAATAGTTTATTTCCAGCAAAAGAAGGGGAAACATTTTGACTGTTGGCACCTAGTAATAATGATAACAAAATATGAATAATCATTAATTTTCAAACATATAAATAGAATGAGACATCTTGTACAAAATTTAATTTTACCATTAGCAATATCCGACAATGGAATACTACATAATTCTACTTTATTTGATGCACTTCCTCCAATAAAATCATTTAGATAATGTTTACGAGAATGATCACTTGGAATATTATTTCCTGCAATTGTAAAATACAAACTCATATATTAATTACATTTTAAAGTGCTTTATATAATTAAATACTTTGATAGAAAAATATTTCTTATTGTTAATATGTAACATTGAGACATATTATCACTCAGCATTGGTTAAAAGATATTGAGTTGTAGGATTTGGTTAAAAAGAAAAAATTAAAAGATTTGAATCAGACTAATTTCCTTTATTTTAAAATAAGGTTATTATTTGAATCAAATAGGTAAAAATAATTAAAAGAATAAAGGAAAAAAATACATTAGCTTCTAAAAAATAACATATGTGCAGAAAAACTTATCAATGTCTTTACTGAGATCATTGACTCATTGTAATTGATTCTGAAAACAATACCTTTATTAATCATATTTTTTTTGGTGAAGATGAAAATTTCAAACAGAAGCAAAAACAAAAACTACACTATCCAACAATGAAATTTACAACTGTTATAATTTATAAAAAAAAAAAAAAAAAAAACCTCTTCATCCACCAAAATAATCTCCAAGGAATTTGTTTGCAATGGATTCTTAAACTTTGGCAGCCTCCACAATCTTATTATACGAACTCTTATCTTCCAATCAATTCTCTTTGCTGCAATGTCCTTTAGTAATGTAAACCTCTAAGTCATTCCCTTTAAAAAGAAGATGAAAGTAAAAAGGATAAAACTTTTAATAATATGTTCACTATATATACATCAACATTGAAACAACCAACCTTTAAAATTCAAACTTCATACAAGCTTACCTAAAAATGATTTTCCTATGATTGATAGAGAAAGTGTGAATCCTCATATTAGAAGTACAAAAGTACCCAAGTCAAAAAGTGGACAATGTATATATGGAGAGAGTATTTTTAGAAATAGGTGTCGCAACCCGAAAATTTCCGATCTTGCGACCTATGGTTTAGACATCCTTTTAAAGATCTCATCAATTAAGGAATGCCCGAACACCAGACTAATCCTTAA